GGTTTCTTTCCATTTTTTAAAAAAATGTTTCTCTTTTTTCTATTCTTTTCTCTTTCTTTTTTTTACACTAATTGCATGAAAGTTTCAGAGGTCTAGGTTTCTTTCCACTTTAAAAAATAACAGTTTCCTATCTAAATTGTTATTGATTAGTAAGAATTATTTGTGTAGTAAATTTCTATCAACAAGTATGTTACAAAGATCTTCCCAGTTTGTCGTGTATTTTTCAACTTGCTTTATGCAGTCTCTGTGGGCAAATTGATTAGATTTTACACGCTCTGGCTTCGCTGTAGTGCTAAGAAACTCTACTGGGGACTTCAGAATTATACAATGTATTTCTTTTTCCTTCAGATAGTTTTAGAGTTTCATTTGTTGCATTTACGTTTTTAATCCACCTGGAATGTATTTATGTTCTAGGCCAGTTTCTGGCTCCTCTCCCAGAAAACAACTATCAGGTGTTGCTTAGCAACCTCCACCAGGGTTGGAGTTCGGTTTCTTTTCGGAGGAAAAACAGCTGCCCTCCCTTTCAAGTTGACGCAATCTAAAAGCGTTGCCTAGTAACATCGTTTCAGACAATGTGATTGGACCCTTCCCATGTCCCACCCCCATTCTCTCGAGCCAGAGAGAACAGAACTAGAAACTTAATCTCTCTTAACGAGGGCAGCGTACGCGTTGCATAGCAACTCGGTCTCCTGACACTCCCTTTGAGACCTGAGTCGGAAACAGGCACCCCGCTCAAAGATGGCGACCGGTTGTGCCTCTTCCAATTTATTTCGCTCCTGATAGTCCTGACGATAACTTAATCTCCCCCATCAGGCCCCCGAAGGGGCTCACTGTGCCCTTTCTGAGTCTTCCACGTGGGGTGTGTGAACGACGATGGAGATAGAACTAACGCTCCCTGAAAGCCCCGCACAAACATGGCCGCCGGCGCGCTAGCGGCGGCACGAAGCCGTCCGGCGCGGGTGCGCGCGCAGCGCAGGCGCACTTCCGCTCATTCCCTGGTGGCTGCTACGGCTGCGGTGGCGGCTCCCGCACGGGGAATGGTCCCCGGGTCCGAGGGCCCGGCCCGAGCCGGGGGCCTGGTGGCCGACGTGGTGTTTGTGATCGAGGGTACTGCCAACCTGGGACCCTACTTCGAGGGGCTCCGCAAGCACTACTTGCTCCCGGCCATCGAGTGAGTGCGCTTTCCGCGATCCCGTCCCCGCCCTCCGACTTTAGTTTACTACAGCTTCTTGCCTGACCCCAGTCTTTCACCTGCGATCCTCACAGGTATTTTAATGGCGGTCCTCCTGCTGAGACGGACTTCGGGGGAGACGTGAGTTTAGGGACTGTTGAGTCTGAGGGAGGAGGGACCTGGGAGTCGGGACCGCTGGGTCCGAAGGGGGAGGGGCTGGGAATCCGGACCGCTGGGTCCGAAGGGGCAGGGGCTGGGAGTCGGGACCCCTGGGTCTGAGGGAGGAGGAGGCTGAGGAATTCCTGGTTCCGGAGGAACGGGAAGCTGGAAGACTCCATTCCTTCTCTGAGGGAAAAGGGAGCTGGGATCCCAGATTAAAAAAGTTTCTCTATCCCCTCCCCCCCCCAGTATGGTGGGACCCAGTACAGCCTCGTGGTGTTCAACACGGTGGACTGTGCTCCTGAGTCCTACGTACAATGTCACGCTCCCACCAGCAGCGCCTATGAGTTTGTCACCTGGCTTGATGGCATTAAGTGAGCTTTTCCCCCAACTTGGGGCAGGTTTGGGGGGACCCTGTGAGGGACGGGGAATGAGTGGTGGCTTGGATTTGAGCTGCAGGAGCCGTGCGCGCACATTGGGTGGCTGAAAGGACTGTGAGGGTGATTGTGTTTTTGTCCCTAAGGCACTTCTGTGTGCTCAGCCATGTAACCATCTGCTTTAGAAGCGGAAAACACTTTCTGTTCAGGGAGCCTTGGCCAAGCTCCAGCAGTCACCTGGTATTTGTGTGAGTCTTCCTTTTCTGTCCCCTCCTTCCCTGTCTGCTCCAGACCTCCTTTTTCAGATGGTTCACTGAAGCCCGAGTGCAGGGGGACGGGGCTGGGCCAGGATAGATGCCTCTGTGGTTTGGATTGGATTTTCATAGTTCTCGCTGGAGACTCGAATCAGGCAGCCTGGGGTCAAATGCTGGCTTTTCCACAACAGAATTCTCAGACGCAAGAGTCCCTGCCCGTTCTGTGCCTAGTAGAGCTCATCTCCGAAGTGGGGGTGTTAATGGTACTTGTCTTAGTTTCTCATTGTGTCATTCTTTGCTGCATAACAGATTACCTCCAAACTTAGTGGCTTACAACTACAAATGTTTAGCATCGTATGCCGTTTCTGTGAGTCAGAAATTCAGGAGTGGCTTAGCGGGATGTTTGGGCTCAGGGTTGTTGATGAGGTTGCACTCAGGGCGTGGGTTGGGCTGTAGTCATCCAAGGGTGTGATTGGCTGGAGGATCCACTTCCAAGGTGGCTCACTCAGCCTCCCCACACTCTGCTTGACTGGCCTAACATGGCAGCTGGCTTTCATCAGAGCGGGTGATTCAGTAGAGAGCAAAGGGGAAGCCACCAGGCTTTTTATGATCAAGTCTTGGAAGTCATACACCATCACTTCTGCCACAGTGTGTTTAGTGTACAGCGTAAGTCTTTCCTACTCAGTGCGGGAGGGGACTACACAGGGTGCGAATACTGGGAGGCAGGATCACCAGCAGCGTCTTGGGTTGTCTACTACAATCTCATCGGGATATTTTGAGAATTAAGTGAGTTGATTAGTATATTTAAACAGTGCCTGGCACATACTAAGTGATATGTTAAGTGTTTGCTACTATTTTGTGCCTTGGTTTCCTAGTTTGCAAATAAATGGATAATGGTAGTGCGTATCTCAACGCTGTTGGAGGAATCACAGGAGCTAATTTTTGTAGCGTTTAGTTCAGGGTCCATTAGGCGGCACCAGTTCATAGCTGCTGTTATCTTTGTACATTTGTGCTTTGTTCGAGGCTGTGTGTGCACGTGCTGGGTGCAGAATGTATGATGCAAAGTTGACACGTAAGTTTCCCTTGTGGTCCTTGGAGTTAGTAGTTAATATATGACAAAGTTTCTTGCATTTGGAGCTATTGACACTACGGACTTGATAATTGTTTGTTGTGGGGGCTGTAGGGTACTGTAGGATGTTTAGCAGCATGGCTAACCTTTACCCACTAGATGCCAGTAGCACCTCCCCCCAAAGCTGTGACAACCAAAAATATCCCCAGGCATTGTCAAATATCCCCTGGGTGTGGGGGGCAGAATCCACCCTTGTTGAGAACCCCTGGGATAAATTGGGGTAGGACTTGAATAGTGTTAAATGAGGGCTCCCTTGAGTTCTTTTCTGCTTAGTAGCTCAGAGGGGCTGTGTTTGGATCAGATGAACATGAAAGACTCCATAATGGGAAGTGGTCCCAAGGCTTTTTTTTGATTGCCCTTGTCTGGAAACACCCAGTTCACTCTCTCTGGTTCCTCTATTGCTGGAGCTGCCTTTGACGGAAACACAGAAGCAGAAATGACTTTCACATAGTAATTCCGGTGTACTTCTGAATCCACACACTAGACCAGAGGGACAGAACCTGGGGGGCTCCCATAGCATAGAATGGCTGCTCTCAAGAACTCTATGACAATGCCTGTCACTCTGGAGTCTTTCTCAAAGACAGACAAAAGTAAAGACATCATAAAAGTATAACTACACACAATTATGCAGTGTAAAGTTTACAGTATAAAGCTGTAAAAAAAAAATAAAAATAAAAAAGTGGGTACTCCCTTGAGGCCTGAGTCCAAGTCTGATGCCTCTCAAGTCCTTAGCACCCAGCTGAGGGCCTGGTAAAAGGGAGGCCTAAGGAAAAATTTAGTTGACTGAATGAATACCCAGAATGCAGTTCATACCGATTACCGTAGTAAACTCCTACATAACCTTCAAGACCCCAATTCAAATGTCTTTCCCTCTGGGAAAACTTCCCTGATTCTTGCAAGCAGCTAATTGCTCCCTCCTCTGCCTTGTGACCCTCCTGGGTTCCCCCGTCAAAGTACCACCCCTCCGGACTGTGCATGTCTAAGTCCCTGGGCGTTTCCTTTGACACTGGCTTCCAACTGGGGCTTGGCATCCAGGGGGCTTTAGGAGACCTTGGCTGAATAAACGAATGAGTAAAAACTACCGGGAGATAATCACCAAGAAACCAAACCCGGTGGGTATTTAAATGTCAGGAAAAGCAGTCAAACTTCCTTATTAGAAACATCGAGGACACTAGGAAGATAAGAAGGAAATGTTTTCTGAACATCTTAACCACATATCCACCTCCTCCCCCTTAACTCAGAATACACTGTACCTTGAACCAAACAAAAACGTTTTGTTCCTCACTGCAGAATCCTCCTAATCAGCTGATAAACATTTTAAGCTATTATTTATTGTTCACAGTAGTCATTGTTTTCTTAAGTCCTGTGTGACCATCTGAATTCAGTGTCTGTGTCATTCCAGGTGGGTCTGTAACAGGGATCACAAGAAAGACAACAAGTTTTGTTCACACTTAGAGAAACCTTATTTTTTCCCTGGATGTCAGTTACTTCAGGAACAAAGCATACATTGTGATTTTTCACATGTCCTTGTTTGGGGAAGATTCCTTTCTGATGTTACATTTCCTCTCTCGCAAGGGGACTTTTTCCCCCTCTTCTACAGCTAGTGATCTCAAATCAGAGAAAACAGAGGTAGAAGGAAAATAAACCCAGTGGCTTCCCTGTGGCATTATGACGACTTGTTTGTTCATTCGATTATTCACTCATTTATTCAGCAGAGACATTTCTGGAGCAAACTGTCTCAGGCACTGACGGGTCAGTGGGCATGAGATAAATAAGGTCCTGGCCCGGGCGGAGCTGGGGTTTGCGTGGGGCACGGGCTAGCGTGCAGGAAGCCCTTGGTCATGGCTGGCTGCTGTTAATGTTCCTTCATTTTGACCAATACCTCCTGGCTCCTCCAGACAGCTCTTAGCCCATGAGAGTAGCCAGAGAAGACTCGAGGGAGTGATATTGGGATGGAACAAATGGGGGTAA